GATAGAAACTGTTATCTTTTTCAAACAGGAAATAATCCGTTTCAAAAAAGTTGTCGTCTTTTATTTGTCTGCATATTTCTAGTCAGCTTAGTTGCCACATCGTAGAATTGTTATTTTTTGCTGTACGCAATGTACCTTGTAGTTGTTTGTAGTATTTTGATTTCTATTTGTATTTTTACGAACCTTGACTTCGTATACTCTTTTTCTGTTTTTTTTCTCGCTTTTTTCTGCCCAAATTATTTCGGCTTAAGTTTTATAGGCTGGGTAATCTAATTTTGGCCGTTTCAGGCGAAACATAAATTTTATGTTCCCCTCTGGATAGCACAAAATGCTAAAATTCTTAGACTAGAATTTCATGACATCAATTTTGTTTTCGGCACCAATAAATGATTTTGGACCTGCATTAAACGCCGTTCATTGTGTTTTTGGACGAGTTTTCCTCAAATAGAACATAATTCCAGACAAAATCTTAAATTTTTAGTTGTGGTTTCTTCGAATTTTTTCTTTTTTTGGACTTAGTGGCTGTTTTTTTCCTTTCCTGTCTGCTAGATTGTTATGCAATTTTTAGGTGGTTTATGTGCTTCGCCTCTGTTTATGAAGGTTCAATGAGTTTCAAATCGACCAAAAGTTTTGTTTAGATCAGAGCCGAATGCCTAGACAGATTTTTTGAATACTGTGTTAACATTCGCAAATTCTAGATTTAAATCATCATTATCCAAATTTGAAATGGCATTTCGAGAACTTTTTTTCAAGTTTTCTTGATTCAGTAATTTGCTGGAAAAATTCGAGCTTCTCTGAATGATTTAAGCTTTATATACAGCTTTCAACATTTCGTCGCTTCATTTCCTTGCTTGAAAACATGAGGTTTTTTGTTGAGAATATCTAGTTTTTTGATGGCGCATACCCAACGATTCGAAATCCAATTTAACTGTCTTGTTTTGTAATTCATCTTGTAATATGCTTAAACTGATTGCATGAAAAACTTCATCTTTTTATGAATCAAATTGTGCCTCCAAAACCAATTTGAATTGTTTCCTAGTTGCACCGTTTGAGTTGATTTGTATGGAAACCTGTTTTTTGAGCCATGAATAATGCTATCTAAATCACTTGAATTATTTTGAAATGTTTCATTGTTTGACCGTACAGTGAATTAAGCACCCTACTTGAAAAAGTTCATCTTGAGAACGGTTTTTAGCTATCTAAAAATTTTGTATATAATAATAATGTATTTTTTGACTAACTTGATTGAAAAACTATGTGTTAGAGCAATCAAATCAGTTCAAACTATCTCAAAGATTCATGCTTCATAGTTGTTGCAAAAACTTATGCTTGAAAGAATATGAATTGTTTCTCGTTTTCGTCATTTGAATAGGTAACTTTCAAATGAATCCCTTGAAGCTAGCAAATCAACTTAAGGTTGTTACAATTTTTCTTTTAAGCTTAGTTTGCAAATTTTTTTTCGCTAAACGTTTCAAAATATCAAGATGCTTCGAATTTAATCAAATTTTTTGTACAATTATGTTTTGTACTAATTATTAAGAGTCGATGAACGTAATTCAGACTCTTGTATAGGTCACGATGATTGTTTTTGTTCTTTTTTCTTAGTAAAAGTTCTAAAATTTTTCAGGCTCAAGTTTAGTTTTTTGCGGTTTGACTTATAATTTTTTTAAAATTCAGTTCATTTCCTTTGTAAAAAGGAAGGCAAACTCAATTATTTATCGAACAGCGAAAGTCTAAAGGTCAAACATGATCGACTTCTAATTCGAAAATGGATATTAGTTATCAGATGTCTTAGCGAAATGAAAAGTTTGCATATTGATCTAGTTTACTCAAATTGGGTTAGTTTTATCAAAAAAGTGTCAATCATAATTTTCTCTAAAAATTCAAAGAGCTTTAAGGTCATCGTTTTTTTCTTTGAAATCTAAGTATGCCAAATGAAAATCAGCTCAGTTCTGAAACAAATTGTCGTAAAAATATCTCTGTGATTTTAGTGACAATTTTAATTATTTTCTGCTTTCAGGCTTTTAATTCTAAAATTAAAAAAATTCCTCCCAATTTTCAGAAAACAGCTCCTAATCCTCCATTTTTTTGTGAGTGTCCTAATTTTTTTGTCTCGACTGATTTGCACTGAGGCTCGGTAGGCTCAATTGTTGATATTATCTAGTAGTGTTTTACGGTAAAACTCATGGAACATTGAAGGAAGCTATCTACAACTTAAGTTAGTGTGGGAGGTATCTGTGTTCGCACTTTTACCTGCCAAGTTGATGCTATGTTCGACTGTTTATTGGTTTTTGATTTCACAAAAAATGATCTATCTAAAATTTGTATCTTGGTTGAGCGCAAATTGTGTTTTTTATCAGTATTTTTAATGCATTGTAATCACGGTCGGATTTAAGATTTTTTTTGATGTTAGACAGCAAAGACACGTCACCAATACATTGAATTCTTTGCAGCAACAAAATGAACGAAATTAAACCAAATCTAGTCTTAGATTTTTTCGCGGATTTAATTTCTTTAATTTCCACTTTTTTGTGGATGTAATTAATCCCAAACGTTTATAGCCGATCCTCCTTGCTGGAGCGGAGGTAAGTTTGAAGTTTTTTTATGCTCGAAAAGAGTTCAGCTGTGTAGACTGTCACGATGAGGGTAGCTCCGATTTCAGGGTGAAGGAAGCAATGCAAAGACTGTGGCGCTTTGGCTCTGTGACACATTTTTGGGGCAGTTGTGAAAGTTTCTGGCGTAGCTTTTCACATTGGAAAAGCGCCACATGTTTTCAAACTTCGAACTCGCTGGGAAAATTATCCTCTGGAAGCACTGCCACGTATGATTGGACCTTGTTTGGGAGTGTAATTCGAAGATACAAAAAGAGGCAATTTTGCTCAAGTACAAAGAAACACTTTCAGAAAAAATTAGTTGAAAATATCCGAAGTCCGCATCTCCCTAAATCAGCTAAATTTTACTAGATGTTAGAAGGCTATGAAATATCTATTTTTTTGAAAATTTTAATGGTTTTGAAATTTCTAAAAATTTACCTCCTGTAAATACATATTTAAATATGCATTTGCAAGATATTTTTGCACTAATTTGTTTTGATTGAGTTGAGCTACTTTTATATTACGTAGCCTCTTTTTTTTCTCGAAGTCACACGTTTTTGTGTCTGTTTTTATGGAGTTTCTGTTGGGCTTTATACAGCACAAGCTTTATCAGATAAATTAAGGGGTTCAATTTAGGTAGCTTGGCGCAACGATTAAAGCAAATTAAATATCAATGATAAGGGAGGATTGTGGTTTAATTTTTTGTTAAAATTTATCTTCAATTAACCAGTTCAAGCTGGGATGAGAAATTCGATTTACTTTTTTTTGCGAGAGTTTGCTGAGACAAGTTCGCCTCTGTTTGAATTTTTTTTACGGAATGCTATGGAGCACGCTATTGAAAATTATCAACCGTTAGTTTTTTGTGATCATGGCTCAAGTGTTGTCGAGAATTTATTCAGATATAATTTCAGCTGAAAAAGTTTTTCTTCAATTTAAGATCTATAATACCTAAGTTGATTACCGTATTTTGAGCTATCGTTGGTTTTATTGTTGCGACCACCCAATAGGGGTGGGAAGGAACTATAGCGTAGGGTATGTTTTGTTATCGATTTTGAGTACCGCAAAGAAAACTTGTTGGGGTTAATTTTGGTATTTTGTCAAAGCCCTTTCAGCTGTCATTTGGATTTCGAAAAAGAAAGTTGAGCGTTGAGATGAATTGACCCGAAGTTCGAAATATTTTCAGACAAAATTTGATGGCACCGAGCTCAAATTTGATGACACTCAACTTGATTTTACTGTAGTTCTCACGTTGTTTTTAGCTAAATTCATTTTCAGTGCTGCAGTGTTTTAAACTGATTTTATCGCATTATAAAAATCCACAAGAAATTCAGCTAAAAAGCTAATTTTTCGAAAAAAAAATTTTTTTTTTGTTAATTTCTCTTTATTTTTGAATTTCTTGTCTTAATTTTGTAACCCTCGCTCCTGCTCCAGTACATGACCAACCGTGAGGAGGCGGATGACACTGGGACATCTCCAACCGTAACCGAAGTGGGGCTCGAACGCAAAACCCTCGTTTTGAGAGACGTGGGCCTATTCCACTCGGCTACGGCTGCTCTGTTTCTGATCTTAAATCATCTTGGTCGCAACGTGCACAGAAACCGTCTATCTTTTGTGTGTGGTCTATCGTTTTTGTCTATCGTTTGTGTTTGGCTGTTGGCTCTAAAATTTTAAATGCTTGTATGGTTTTCGTCTAAATTATAATTGAAAGCCTTTTTCAATTATTGGCAATTTGCTGGTATTATGTAGATTCATTTAACTCTGCCCAATGTACATGTTACATGTAGTCCTAACATCAGGGGCGGATCTAGGATTTTCTCGAGGGGGCAGATTTGCGAAAATTTTGTCGACCTTTTTTTAGGCTGACTAAATTGATTTTCCGAGCTCTCCCAAAGCACTAAAAACACCCTGTTTCGGCCAAATTTTGTGCGCCGCAGGCAAAATTTTGAAAAAACAGGCCAAAAAGGGGCGTTTATTGGGCCAAAGGCGCCTGTAGAAAAAATTTTAGTTTCCTTCAGGCAAAAATAGATATCTCAAAGTAGTACAAAGGTGGGGCATTTTTGGTCGGCAGGGGGTCGAATGCCTGATGAGGGTGTCCCCCCCCCCCTAAATCCGCCGCTGCCTACTATATTCAACAATGATAATAATAATAATCATACTAATAATAAGAAGCCGATAAGCGAAGATCAAAGATGGAAATGATCATAATTTTCATTGGTTTGCATATCGAGTTCCGCCGAGTTTCAATAACGCTTCGTTTTTGGCATAATTTTCTTCCTATTTTAAGCTGCACTCTAATTGACGAAGTTTTATATTAGCAATTTGTTGAACACTGAAACAATTTTTTTTTTCGGTTTCCGAAAATACACCCGTTTCAAACGTTAACATTGGTCTTATAATTAAAGATTGAGAATGTAAGTCGGTTTATATGTACAAAATGAGCGTGTCTGGGTGCGAATCGACATGCGAAGATTTTGAGCAAGATTTTGAAAATCAATTAAGCAGTTTCAGAAGGATCTGGAAGCAGCGACAACTTCTTTACGGGGATCAAATTGGAGAACTGAAGCAGAAAATCGAAAAGCTTCAAGCCGATAAAAATAATTTGGGTCTTAAATACGTGAAATGCAAAGCTGAGCTGGAAAAGCTAAAAGAAGAGCCGAAAGTATCAATTTGCATTATTTGCCAATCAGGTTTGGGTGGAAGCTTAAACCAAAAAGAAGATGGTGATAAAAGCTTGAACGCAAGTTGCATAGAAAGTTCGAGTAAGGTAGTTGAAAGGAAGACACCTAAAAAGCTGGACAGTTTAGCTGTAAATTCGAAAAAAAAGTTCAATTTCAAAGAGTTTAAAATGCCATCGAAGGCTGAGGAACAACTTATCGAAGATGAGAAATCGATTAATATTGGCAATTTTTCCATTCCTGAAACGTGTCCCGATAACGACTCTTCAATTGTAGAAAAAATAAAAGTTTCTGGTAGTAAAAATACAATATCTAAGAAGCAACAACAATCAACCCCAATTAACGAAAACTGGACACGGCCTAGTCTGGTAAAGATGTCTGGAGGCTTAGTCAAGCAGTGTTTAGACATCAACAAAAATTGCCCAAAGTCAAGAACGTCAGTTGAAAATGAAACAGTTCTAATTAGCTCGTTAGTTGTAATCGAAAACTCAGTTAACGTGACAGAAATTGACCCAAAAAATGGGCCCATCCTAAATCCTCTTCCAGAAAATTGTGCATTCAAAAATGAAGTTTTGAGTGGAAAAACTAAAAATAAGAAAACAAGTTTCGATGCAAATGCAAAAACTGTCAGTGAACCTCAGGAAAATTCAAAAATTGAAGATAATTTAACAGAAGACTCAAATAGTATCGGCGATAAAGATGACTTAGATGTAATCATTCCCAGTCCAGTTATTGGGAAGTCAAACTCACGTATCACAAACTCAAGTCAAACTCCAGACGAAAGTCTGGCCAATAAATGTCAATCTCAGTTTGAATCAACGGCTACGTGTAGTAGCTCCCAGAAACTTTTATTCGGATCATCTCGAAAATCTTTATCGGCCAGTAAAGTTGGTAGAATTATAGTTTCGGATACACCGTCGCCAAAAAGTAAACGAAGATTGATTTTAAAATCTGTCGAGAAAACTAATTTAATTCCCGAAACGTATAATTGCAATTCGCCCGAAACTATCGGCGCTGTCGATAATGAAATTCAAGAGACTGACAGTTTATTTGTTGAAGACGTTAAGAATTTGGCCCGGAATAACAAATTAGAAAAGTCCTTCAAAAATTTTTGCTCGACGCAAATGATAGACAGAACGAAGTTAGAAGAAAGTCTTCAGTTGATGTTTTCACCAGTTGAGCCTCTAAATAAAGAAAAACAATTCCAACAAAAATCAATTTCTCCTAAAATATGCGCTGAACAATCATCGTTCAGTCAACCTTGTGAAATTATAGAATCACCAACTGAACTTTCGTCTAAATCTCAGCAACAAAAAAAAGCACGAGAAATACGAAAGAAAGCTGCGAAAATTACTTATACGAAGAGTTTTTACAGTGATGGACAAAGCAAACTTAAATTAATAGCTAAAGGCGTTAGTAAGAACAGCGCCAAGAAAAAGCAAACAAGTCAAAATAAAAAACCAACGAAAAAGACTAACCTAGATGAGAGTATCCAAGTCTTAGAAGATAGTTTCGACGTTGTACCGAATTCTAAGAACGATAAACCAAGTTTCAAGTACCAGGAGGTCGTGAGAGGTCAAGTCGCCAGAAATCAGATGACTGGGAAGTCGTGCAAAGATTGTGAAGATTATTACAAATCTGCAGGTTTATTAGTTCAACCATGCTCACTTAAAATTTCAAAATTGTCTCAAGGGGCATGTATCTATGAATGGATTTTAGTGTGCCAAGTACTTTGGCTCTGACCCTAAATAACTCTGAAAAATTGTTACGAAATTGAACATCGCAATGTTTTTTGGAGCATTTTTGGGTAACTACTCAAAAATGCTCATAATGTACAGAATTTTGCTAGAACAACTGGTACTTTGATCCAGTTTTGTACTTGAATGGTATTAATCAATAGTTCTTCAGGTCTGAGTGGAGACGAAATAGCAAAACGCATGAACGGTTGTTCACGTCACCGAGTGCACTTCACACCGCCAAAAACCCCGCAACACTACTGGTCCCTTGATTTCCCCCCTACACCCCCGGACATGAAGGGCGTGAAAAGAAAAGAACCCTGTGGTGACAATTTGAATAAAGATAATATAGATGAAATAACGGAAAAAGTTCATCAAAATAATGCTATTGGAAGTAGTATAGCCAATTGTAGAGCGAAGCGACGGAAGCCTTTAGTAAGTAAATGAAATGTTTTTTTTTTTTTCAATTTGTTTTCGCCGTGATTGTTTTCAAGTTGTAATTGAGTAATATCTGAGTTTAATTTTTTTTTTCGCGAAAACTTATCTTTTCTGCTATGTTAAGGTGTTTTTTACCATTTTGAAGCCATTAGACTCTTCAATTTGAAATGCTGCGTGGAATCAGTGATGTCCATTTGAATAAATAGAAATCGATTTTTAAACGTGACGCCAAATCCTCTGAGGACACAATGTTACAGTTTTCTAGGCAATAATGGTCACAAAATGTTAAGGAAAAGTTCAAAAAAAGAACTAATATTTTAGAACTTCACTTTAAGACCAAATAGATAGATAGGTTCTTTTAAATTTTTGTAGTTTTAAGATTTTGTACGATTTCAAGAATTATTGCTAGGTTTCAATTGGCTCTTTTTTTATTTGTGCGTTTGCGTATGTGTGTGAGTTTTTCTTTTCAGTTTTTCCACCGATTTAACACTAATTATTAAGCTTTTCAACCTTGAAACTATTGTAAACAATGATAACTATACTATATTTAAATGCGTGTTACACGTATCTTGACATGTTTAAGCGTTTTTTAAACAGTTAAGGGCATAACGGATCAGTTTGAATCTAGTGTTTATTTTGGTCTCGTATTATGTGCGAATTTGGTCTCGTATTATGACTGCCCAAATCTTTTTAGTGTACGAGATAGGACGACTTTTGTGATTTTCTCAAATTTTTTCGGAAAACTCATTCTACAATTCTTGAAATTTCCAAGCCTGTGTTTGGGTGCTCTCAGTGTACTCTCAAAGAGTGCGAATCTTGCCTCCAAATATGACTGCTCAAATCCTTGAAGTTTTCGAGATATATTAGACTGGCAACGTTCTGGTTAGAAACCTGAAGCTTAATCTAAAGCCACATGGAATATACATTGATTGTGTGTTATATTACACGTTTTTTCATCGTGGCTTTAGATTAACGCTTCAGGTTTCTTACCAGAAATTTGCGAGTCTAAGTCTCACCGCGGTACGAAACCATAACTGACTAGTCTTGATAACCCAAAGAATCCTAGGAAAAAATAACGGTAAAAGTGCTATCTAAATTAAGCTTTTGTTAAAGTTCTGACCAGTTCAAGAGGATAGCAAAAAAAACTTTGAATCAGATCTCTTCTTTGAATTCCTACAAGTCAGAATATTGTTTTGATAATTTTTTAGATCAGTTCTTTAAAATTACTTAAAATGTGACGTTTTGATCTTAATATACAGAGGCCTGCCATTAGCTCGCTAATAAATGTACAGCTGGAAATCAGCTTGTCGGAACGCAGGCTTCTGTTTCTTTTCAATTTTTCCACCGATTTAACACTAATTATTAAGCTTTTCAACCTTGAAACTATTGTAAACAATGATAAACTATACTATATTTAAATGCGTGTTACACGTATCTTGACATGTTTAAGCGTTTTTTTAAACAGTTAAGGGCATAACGGATCAGTTTGAATCTAGTGTTTATTTTGGTCTCGTATTATGTGCGAATTTGGTCTCGTATTATGACTGCCCAAATCTTTTTAGTGTACGAGATAGGACGACTTTTGTGATTTTCTCAAATTTTTTCAGAAAACTCATTCTACAATTCTTGAAATTTCCAAGCCTGTGTTTGGGTGCTCTCAGTGTACTCTCAAAGAGTGCGAATCTTGCCTCCAAATATGACTGCTCAAATCCTTGAAGTTTTCGAGATATATTAGACTGGCAACGTTCTGGTTAGAAACCTGAAGCTTAATCTAAAGCCACATGGAATATACATTGATTGTGTGTTATATTACACGTTTTTCATCGTGGCTTTAGATTAACGCTTCAGGTTTCTTACCAGAAATTTGCGAGTCTAAGTCTCACCGCGGTACGAAACTATAACTGACTAGTCTTGATAACCCAAAGAATCCTAGGAAAAAATAACGGTAAAAGTGCTATCTAAATTAAGCTTTTGTTAAAGTTCTGACCAGTTCAAGAGGATAGCAAAAAAAACTTTGAATCAGATCTCTTCTTTGAATTCCTACAAGTCAGAATATTGTTTTGATAATTTTTTAGATCAGTTCTTTAAAATTACTTAAAAAGGTGACGTTTTGATCTTAATATACAGAGGCCTGCCATTAGCTCGCTAATAAATGTACAGCTGGAAATCAGCTTGTCGGAACGCAGGCTTCTGTTTCTTTTCAATTTTTCCACCGATTTAACACTAATTATTAAGCTTTTCAACCTTGAAACTATTGTAAACAATGATAACTATACTATATTTAAATGCGTGTTACACGTATCTTGACATGTTTAAGCGTTTTTTAAACAGTTAAGGGCATAACGGATCAGTTTGAATCTAGTGTTTATTTTGGTCTCGTATTATGTGCGAATTTGGTCTCGTATTATGACTGCCCAAATCTTTTTAGTGTACGAGATAGGACGACTTTTGTGATTTTCTTAAATTTTTTCGGAAAACTCATTCTACAATTCTTGAAATTTCCAAGCCTGTGTTTGGGTGCTCTCAGTGTACTCTCAAAGAGTGCGAATCTTGCCTCCAAATATGACTGCTCAAATCCTTGAAGTTTTCGAGATATATTAGACTGGCAACGTTCTGGTTAGAAACCTGAAGCTTAATCTAAAGCCACATGGAATATACATTGATTGTGTGTTATATTACACGTTTTTTCATCGTGGCTTTAGATTAACGCTTCAGGTTTCTTACCAGAAATTTGCGAGTCTAAGTCTCACCGCGGTACGAAACCATAACTGACTAGTCTTGATAACCCAAAGAATCCTAGGAAAAAATAACGGTAAAAGTGCTATCTAAATTAAGCTTTTGTTAAAGTTCTGACCAGTTCAAGAGGATAGCAAAAAAAACTTTGAATCAGATCTCTTCTTTGAATTCCTACAAGTCAGAATATTGTTTTGATAATTTTTTAGATCAGTTCTTTAAAATTACTTAAAATGTGACGTTTTGATCTTAATATACAGAGGCCTGCCATTAGCTCGCTAATAAATGTACAGCTGGAAATCAGCTTGTCGGAACGCAGGCTTCTGTTTCTTTTCAATTTTTCCACCGATTTAACACTAATTATTAAGCTTTTCAACCTTGAAACTATTGTAAACAATGATAAACTATACTATATTTAAATGCGTGTTACACGTATCTTGACATGTTTAAGCGTTTTTTTAAACAGTTAAGGGCATAACGGATCAGTTTGAATCTAGTGTTTATTTTGGTCTCGTATTATGTGCGAATTTGGTCTCGTATTATGACTGCCCAAATCTTTTTAGTGTACGAGATAGGACGACTTTTGTGATTTTCTCAAATTTTTTCAGAAAACTCATTCTACAATTCTTGAAATTTCCAAGCCTGTGTTTGGGTGCTCTCAGTGTACTCTCAAAGAGTGCGAATCTTGCCTCCAAATATGACTGCTCAAATCCTTGAAGTTTTCGAGATATATTAGACTGGCAACGTTCTGGTTAGAAACCTGAAGCTTAATCTAAAGCCACATTGTGTGTTATATTACACGTTTTTCATCGTGGCTTTAGATTAACGCTTCAGGTTTCTTACCAGAAATTTGCGAGTCTAAGTCTCACCGCGGTACGAAACTATAACTGACTAGTCTTGATAACCCAAAGAATCCTAGGAAAAAATAACGGTAAAAGTGCTATCTAAATTAAGCTTTTGTTAAAGTTCTGACCAGTTCAAGAGGATAGCAAAAAAAACTTTGAATCAGATCTCTTCTTTGAATTCCTACAAGTCAGAATATTGTTTTGATAATTTTTTAGATCAGTTCTTTAAAATTACTTAAAAAGGTGACGTTTTGATCTTAATATACAGAGGCCTGCCATTAGCTCGCTAATAAATGTACAGCTGGAAATCAGCTTGTCGGAACGCAGGCTTCTGTTTCTTTTCAATTTTTCCACCGATTTAACACTAATTATTAAGCTTTTCAACCTTGAAACTATTGTAAACAATGATAACTATACTATATTTAAATGAGTGTTACACGTATCTTGACATGTTTAAGCGTTTTTAAACAGTTAAGGGCATAACGGATCAGTTTGAATCTAGTGTTTATTTTGGTCTCGTATTATGTGCGAATTTGGTCTCGTATTATGACTGCCCAAATCTTTTTAGTGTACGAGATAGGACGACTTTTGTGATTTTCTTGAATTTTTTCGGAAAACTCATTCTACAATTCTTGAAATTTCCAAGCCTGTGTTTGGGTGCTCTCAGTGTACTCTCAAAGAGTGCGAATCTTGCCTCCAAATATGACTGCTCAAATCCTTGAAGTTTTCGAGATATATTAGACTGGCAACGTTCTGGTTAGAAACCTGAAGCTTAATCTAAAGCCACATGGAATATACATTGATTGTGTGTTATATTACACGTTTTTTCATCGTGGCTTTAGATTAACGCTTCAGGTTTCTTACCAGAAATTTGCGAGTCTAAGTCTCACCGCGGTACGAAACCATAACTGACTAGTCTTGATAACCCAAAGAATCCTAGGAAAAAATAACGGTAAAAGTGCTATCTAAATTAAGCTTTTGTTAAAGTTCTGACCAGTTCAAGAGGATAGCAAAAAAACTTTGAATCAGATCTCTTCTTTGAATTCCTACAAGTCAGAATATTGTTTTGATAATTTTTTAGATCAGTTCTTTAAAATTACTTAAAATGTGACGTTTTGATCTTAATATACAGAGGCCTGCCATTAGCTCGCTAATAAATGTACAGCTGGAAATCAGCTTGTCGGAACGCAGGCTTCTGTTTGTTTTCAATTTTTCCACCGATTTAACACTAATTATTAAGCTTTTCAACCTTGAAACTATTGTAAACAATGATAAACTATACTATATTTAAATGCGTGTTACACGTATCTTGACATGTTTAAGCGTTTTTTGAAACAGTTAAGGGCATAACGGATCAGTTTGAATCTAGTGTTTATTTTGGTCTCGTATTATGTGCGAATTTGGTCTCGTATTATGACTGCCCAAATCTTTTTAGTGTACGAGATAGGACGACTTTTGTGATTTTCTCAAATTTTTTCAGAAAACTCATTCTAC